ATAAGAATCAGTAAATCACCCCTTAACTACATATGTATAATGTTCGGCGTAATATGATACATAGACATTTTAGGTATGGATGAAACAAAGTGAAAATTGTACGTAGTGTAGTCTAAACTACTAGTCTATGTGCTGGGGTCAGATTTTTTCAAAACAATCGAAAATGGTAAAGAAGCGTAAAGTTTCTCTTGAAAAACTGGGTGCATATAGGACGGAACACGGTATCTCAAATTTTGAAGAAAAAGAGAGAAACAGGCAGTCGTAGATCGTCCACGATCTGGAAGACGCAGAGTTACAACGGTTCCTGAGGATAGGCTTATAGTATTAACAAGTAAACGACACAGACAATTAACTGCACCCGAACTCACACACAGCTTGAGTAGAACGAGGGAAAGCCCTGTGTCCGTGTCCACGATAAAACGCCGCTTACAACGGGCTAACCTTAGAGGATGTGTAGCAGCACGTAAACCACTCGTGGATCATTGACGATTGGAATCGAGTCCTTTGGTCGGATGAATCCAAATTTGAAATCTTCGGATCTCGACGACGACAGTTTGTACGCCGCCAACCCCATGAACTCATAGCTCCGCAATGTTTGCAGCTCACTGTTAAACATGGATGTGGGAGTGGTTTGGGGATGTTTTGCTGGAAATCAAACAGGAGATTCGGTTCGTATTGAGGGTATAATGCGATAACAGCAGTATTTGGAAATTTTGGAAAACCATGCTGTACCCTCAGGACAAAGGATTGCTTTCGAATTTCAGCAAAACAATGACCCTAAGCATTCATCTCGACTATGCCGCAATTATTTGAACCAGCAGCGAGTACTTGGTGCAATGAAAATCATAGCGTGGCCTTCCCAGTCTCCAGATTTGTCTCCTATCGAGTATTTGTGGGGTGAATTGCACATACAGTTAAAGCAACAAGAGCGTACTAATGCTACAGACGTGTGAGCTAAACTGCAAGAAGCGTGGGTATCCTTATGACCAACTATTCTTGAAAATTTGATACGTCGGATGAGTCCTGCCTCTAATGCAGTTATTTGGGCTCGTAGTGGATATTTCGATGGATCACGAATTTAAGGTAAATTTTGATAGAAATGAGTTACCAACTAATTATGTTTCAGTGGAAAATAGTTCCTTTTTCATTTTTTTGATTAAACGCACTCTATGGTTTGATTTCGTTTGATTTACCTCAAAAAATCTACTGTCCCAAAACTTTTGAACGGTAGCGTATATGTCAAAAAAGGCAATCTACCTAACGCCATTTTTCACACCTAGAGGTGTAGACGTTTAATATAACCACGATAATGTTAATCGATAAAGTTTATCCAAGATAAGAGGAAAAAGTGTTTTGCTGTTACCTAAAAACTTTTCGGTAGGCCTGACATAATAGCATATATTGGCCTTTTAACTAATTTTGGCTGTTTTTCGACACGTATATGTAACTCAAATATCTTTCTTCAACGAAAACGTTTTTAAAAAGATTTATTTTTGAGAAAGACCAAATACAATGATGTTAATTGAATGAGTTCTGAATCGAGACTGACTGCAAAGTTCATTATACAAACCAAAGTAAAGAACAAATGAAATACAATACTGTAACTGATAAGAAAGGAACGTGGAGGCAAAAGTCCTTGTTCAGCATATTCTTCTCTGTAGACTGGTACATAACTCCTCCACCCCTAGAATGAAGCTTCCCCTGGAAGGTGAATTTCTTTCTTCTTATATCTTGAACTGGAATCTTCTCTTCTAGTGCGTTTTGTGGGACTTGGACCTTCTTCTTTCATCTCGGCTAATTCAATGTCGATTTCTAACTTGGATGCATTCTTGTTTCTCCATCTTCTATATAAAATTATGCAGCAGATGCTTGAAAATACGAGATATAGTAATATGGTCCAAATACTGGGTTTTCCAAAATTTTCTATGGAATTTTCTTCTAAAATTGCTAACATTCGATTAACTTGTAATTCTGGTAAATTTAACGTTTTCAGAGTAATTTGTGTCTCTGGGATATTTTGTTTCATAAAATGGAAATCCATTTTGTCAGCTACGAGGGGCTTTCCATAGGTTTTGTCTTGAAAGATAAGTTCATTGTCTTGGAATGATATTTGGCATTCACTGGCTTTGACTAAGAAAATGCCAAGTAATGACTTTGTATCGATTTGCTCCTTGCATTTAATTTTCAATTTTTCTTCGGTGAGAAATACAGCTAAATACTGGTTAATTTCGGGAATAAATTCAATGTGATTTTCTTCAATCTGAAGCTTCGTGTATCTACATGGTTCTGTATGATCTTCTGTAATTATGGACTTCTCGCATTGGGCTTTGTGATTGGCTAATATACGATTAGGGCATTGATAGATTCTACCTTGGGTACAAATCTCGTGCAGGGGTTTGATCTCATTTCGATCAGATTTTAGCAAATACTTATAATTTGGGATAATAGTGACGAATTCTGATTTGTGCATCAGAGTCGGTATAGGTAACATATAATAAAGATCGAAATGTTCAGGATAATCTATAGGAATAGATAGAAAATAACTTATTTGATTCTGATCGATTTTACAGCTGATAGAAATAATAGATTCATAATCTAGCATATTTTCATACTTTACTTCAAATGGTAATTCATTTTTATAAAATGTGGATATCTTACGGAGTTCTTGAAATAATTCTCTAGTCCTTATTATACTGGGATGCATGGTTTTCAATTTGCAAAAAGTTATCGAATTTTCGATATCTTGTAAAATATTCAATATGGCATTATAAAGGATAATTAATTGATTGATAATGTCCTTCGCTGAAAGAATATCCTGGTTTGTTGTCTGGTTCAATAAAATATGTTTCAATTGTAAAATGTTATTTCTTAATGTCATCTCATTGTGCTGTATATCTTGAATAGTCCCGTTAAATTTTGCGACAAGTTCATTGTTTACTGAATATTGCATTCTCAGCTGATTTTGAATATGATGCTGATTTTCTTGTAAATGAGATAAAATTTTATCAATACGTTCTCCATCGTCGGAGTCTAAATTTCCTGTTATTGTTTTTACTACATAGCCTATGCCATTAAAAAGTCCTCTCTTATTGCGAGTCTTTTGAGAATGAGATTTAATGTATTCGATTTTCTCTTGAATCAAGCTCCTTATATAAGATACTATCTTACTATAATTTTCTAGCTCGTTATTAATCTTAGAATGGTTTCTATAACTATAGTTAAGATTACTGTATTGAATATTCAAATCTTCATATTCCTTATATAAAGGTGATAGATCATAATAGTGCACAAAAGTATGTTTTGTCTTTTGTAGCCTAGCTGTGCCTAAATTTACTGGCAAAATTCCTAAATTGTTCGTTATGTTTCTTATTTCTGCTCCGCATCCGAAATAGATGAGGTATCTGAAATATTAGTAAATTTAAATTGATAAGTTTTCTTCCTGGGCCTTTTAATATTGGATAAATGGATATTTTTGGAAGTATTGGCATGTGTGGGATCTATCTCCGCTCTTTTTAATTTCTTATCTATACTAATTAATTTTTCTTGCTTATACTTATTTTTAGTTTTCTGTTGCTTCTGCTTATTCTTAACATATACCTTGTTAGGAATATCAGGCAAAACTTCACGTTTCTCATTTGCTTTATTTATAACTTTTTCTTTATTCTGTAATATCTTTTCATTTAAATTCCTATATACTAATTTCATTTTTTCCTTATGATTCTGTAAATAATTATTTAATAATTGCTTATCTATGTCTATATTAAAAGGTGATTCTGTATTGAAATGACCAGTAATCACTTCATAGGGTTTAAGATTGGTTACAGAATGTATTGTGTTATTATAAGCTAAAATAGCGTAATTTACCTTAGTTTCTATAGGTTCGTTCTTGTACTCTACCTGATTATTTAATAATCTTAAATGTTCTATGAGCGTTGAGTGGAAACGTTCTACGGTTCCGTTAGATTCTGGGTGCTGTGAACTAATAAAATGTATTTTGACTTTATGCAATTCTAAAAGTTCTTTGACTACTGAATTTTTTAATTCTGTGCCATTGTCGAAAATCATTTGATCTGGTATACAGTGATGTGTAAAATATCTTATAAAATTATTTGTTACCTCTACTCCATTGGCAGAGTTCAACATGTAAGCCTGACCGTACTTTGAAAATGAATCGGTCATAGTCAAAAATTTTGCATTTTCTAAAGAAATAGTGTCTACGTATAAAATTTGGAATGGTTTCGTAGGCGTTGGCGTAATATTATATTCAAGTTTTAACGGGTGTCTGTCGTATTTTGTTAACTGACAGATTTCACACTCATTAATATAAGTCTGTATCGAGTTTCTTAAATTCGGCCAATAATATATTTGTTTTATTCTTTTATCAGTTTCATCGATTCCTCGATGATTGGTTTTACCTTCATGATAATTCTTGATTATATCCTTAATCTCATTTTGATCTGTAACGTCTATCAATTTCTTTGTGCATTTTACTAGATTTATTTGGGAATTTTTGAAATATGTTTGAAGAACTACGCTGAACTTTTCATAGACTGGGTCTTCAAAATATAAACAATATTTTACCTTTGGTGCAATAAATTCTTTTACAAATTTAATTGTATCTGCTTCAAAATTGTTCTTTGATAATTGAACGGATATTCGCTGTTTATTCACATGTAATCTACTAATTACTGGATCAGCTGGTTCGAGGTTTACTTCGGAAATAATAATTTGATTTTTTGCACAATTTACTGCTGTATCACTAATTGGAATATTTATCGTAGGATTTTCTATATTAGAATGAACGGTGTGTCCTGATGAATCATTCTCATTTTCATCAATTTTGTCTAAATCATTGGGTTGAGGTGCGATCGAATAGTTATCGGTCTGATTGGGAATATTGGAAATATTCGATGGACCTGCTTGATTTTCAAGATTTCTATTAAATTCTTTCATGTATTGTGCCAGTGGAGTCGGTGCTCCTGTTTCATTAACATTTACTTCTATTCTAGATAAAAGTCCGCATTTGTGTTTGATTTGCCTTTCCTGTAAACAATGTCAAAATCATGTTCTTCTAATCTTAAGCGCCATCTTAGTAATTTTGAACTAGCATCTCTAACTGAAAATAACCATTGGAGGCTTTTGTGATCTGTTACAATAGTAAACTTACGTCCGAAAATATAAGGTCTGAAATATTTTACTGCATATACGATACTTAAAAGTTCTTTTTCTGTCGTGCTATACTTTGTTTCTGAATCACTTAATGTTCGTGAGGCGTACGCTATTGGTAAATCTGAGCCTAATTTACCTTGGGATAATATTGCGCCGATTGCATAATTACTTGCATCCGTAGTTATCAGGAATGGTTGAGAAAAATCCGGATATTGGAGTATCGGATCGTTTGTCAATAAAGTCTTGCATAATTCGAAACATTTAATATAATCTGCGTCATTGGGATTAATAATTGCATCTTTTTTCAATCTGATTGTCAATGGCTTAGTGATTTTCGCAAAATCTTTTATAAACTTACGGTAATAACCTAAAAGTCCAAGGAAGCCTTTAATTTGCTTCTTAGTTTTTGGTATTTTAAATTCTGTAATTGCCTTTATCTTATCGGGGTTTGGTTTCACACCATCCGCCGTTACAACATGACCTAAATACGATACTTCTTTTCTAAGAAATTCCGATTTGTCTAACTGTATTTTAAAATTTGACTGACGTAACCTTTCAAAAACTTCTCTAAGTCGAGAAATGTGTTCCTGTAAACTAGTACTGAATATTATAATGTCATCTAAATATACTAAGCATTTTTCATTTTGAATACCTCTCAGTATGTTATCCATTACTCGCTGGAAAGTCGCTGGCGCGTTTTTTAGTCCAAATGGCATTCTTGTGAACTCGTAGTGTCCATTTTCTGTATTAAATGCGGTTTTTTGAATATCGTCTTCTGCCATTTCTATTTGGTGAAAACCTGAAGCTAAGTCTAATGTTGAAAAATATTGGCATCGCCCTAATTTATCTAACAAATCTGTTATGTTTGGAAGAGGATAACGATCTCCCAATGTTTTTTCATTCAATTTTCTATAATCAATGACTATTCTCCATTTTTGCTTTCCCGATGCGTCTAATTTTTTTGGAACGATCCATATAGGTGAGCACCACGCTGAATGGCTCTCTCTAATAATTTTTTGATCAAGCATTGATTGTATTTGTCTTTGTACCTCTTTTCGGTGGATTTCAGGATATCTGTATGATTTCGTGTAAATGGGTATTTCATCGCTTGTACGTATATGATGCTTAATTTTGCTCGTAAAGGTTAAGTAATTACCATCTATGTGAAATATGTCCGAATACTCTCTTGCTAACTTGGTGATTGCGTCTTTTTCTTCAGAGTTCATATGCTCTGTCCTAATTTTGGAAATATCAAATTTATATTTTTGAAAGTTCAAAGAATTAATATTCGGTGGATCAGAATTTTCTGAAACTTCGTAATTTTCAAAATTTTCTACATCTATTGGTCGAGATATGTCAAGAGAAATCTGTTCTTCAGATAAATTTAATACTGTGCAAATTGCTTCGTGATTTTTCACTGTAGTAAGACATTCAGGGATTTCTAAACATGATAATTTTCTGTATGGAATAATAGCATTACCATTTTTTAAATTTTTTATGTTAACTTTAATTATCTGTTCTGTTCTAGGTGGAACAGTGATAATATTAGAAGAATTTTTTGTAATCTCGTGATATTGCATGGGTATCCTTGTTGTGGGTGTGACTAAAAGATCATTGCTCAAATCAATGTTGGCATTCAATATCTCTTTCAGGTTATCGAGTCCTAAAAGGCATTGGAAATGTTCGTGAAACTTGAATAAATGAAATTTCATGAGAATATTTGGATTCTTAAAAATCTTTGGACAAGGTATTGTCATACTATATTGTTCGATAGATGAACCATGTGCTGAAGTGATTTGAAATGGGTCTTTTTGAATATGTCTTGAAAATAATTTTTTCGCAATTTCAGGGTGTATGAAAGATTTTGTACTTCCAGTGTCAATCAATACTTTGAGATTATACTCCGGAAATACAATGTATGGTAGTTTGCTACATTTGTCGGTTAAACTCATAATTTCAATTGACTTGGGTGGTCCGTTGAGATTTGTGGTTGTCTCTGTTCCGAGGCTTCTTGCCCTAAAAAATTGTCAGAATTATTCTGAGAATAAGCGCATTCATAATTGTCATCATTTGGAAATTCTACAACAGGTTGGTCTTGTACACACAAGTTAAACATAGCCTGTTCTGCGTTTACACCAGGTCTGTTAAAATTTCTACCTTGAAAATTTGGTTGCTGATACGTCTGTCTAGTGGATGTACTCATCGGAGTAGGCCTTGGCAGATTATTGATCTGATTAGGTCTAAAAACGTTATTATTGTGAAAATTCGTTCTATTCTGATTAGGATTATTTGGTCGTACATTATTAGGACTAAATTGTCTTTGTAATACTGGACGCTGTACCGCTTGGTATTGATTCCTATAATTACCAAAGTTGTTGTTCATATGGTAGTTCGCCATATGCATATTATTTCGATTAACATTTTTATGTTTATCTATCTTATGATCAAGCTGAAAGTCGTTAGTTAATATATTCAGAGCTTCATTCAAGTCTGTAGGATTTTTCGTCCTCATGAGCGATCCTAGAGGTTCCTTTAAACCTTTTAGAAATACTCTTAATGCTACGCTTTTGCAAAAATTACATATTATCTGAGCTTCTTCACTCACACAATGTGTAGTTAAAAATGATATTTGTAAATTCAATAAACTCTGAACTTTGTTATAAAATTCAAAGGGGGTTTCATTGTTCTGTTTCAATTCACACAATTCTATATTTAGAGTAAATACGTCACGCTTGTCTTGATATGTATTTAAAAGTGCAGTTTTCAAGTCTGTCCAATTTTTTATAATATTGCTACTAATATTTAAAGCTGCATTACCTTTGATTTTCGCTAAAATACTACTCATAAGATATTCGTTCTGGAAGTCATTTTCATCCTCTAATCTATAAAATTTATTCACTAACTTTTCGCAAATATCTATGAATCTTGGTAATAATTCTTGTTGACCATAAAATTCGGGTATCATGTTAAGATACTCTGGGCGTAATGACATGCTTGATTGATTTACTTGACTGTTGTTCATATTGACTGTACTATTTAGTATACTAGGTCTTAATTGCAAATTCCTTAAACTATGTTGGATATGTTCCGTATCCGACTGTGAGTCCGAATCAGTGTCACTCAATATATCATCAAACAGCTTTTGATTGTTTTCACCCCTGTAAGACATTCGTACTTACAGTAGTAATCCAATCCGTCCCATGTGTCCGTATGCCTGGGCCACTGCTGGGTTGCCTGTCCTGGAGCAGATGTTCCTTCTGTCCTCTGGGCTGCTGTCGTCTTGGTTTCTCGATTTGGGTAGGGTTCTATCCCAAATCTGGTTCCGGTGATCACGGTAACGATATCGATATTCCGTCGGATCGTTCGCGACCAATCGCGGTTGGTTTCGTTATAGCCAGTAAACCGTTGAAACGAGCCGAAAATGTCCCTTTTTCGTCTGGCTATCCTACTGGATTGACTGCGCCACTCAAATATCTTTCTTCAACGAAAACGTTTTTAAAAAGATTTATTTTTGAGAAAGACCAAATACAATGATGTTAATTGAATGAGTTCTGAATCGAGACTGACTGCAAAGTTCATTATACAAACCAAAGTAAAGAACAAATGAAATACAATACTGTAACTGATAAGAAAGGAACGTGGAGGCAAAAGTCCTTGTTCAGCATATTCTTCTCTGTAGACTGGTACATAACTTGTATGAATATGTTTCTTTTCATATTTAATTCCAAACAACGATCCACTATGTCAGCGCGGGCGTTCCCTGGGGGTCTCGGCTTCAACATTGTTCTTCTTACGTATCAACGACCTCCCTGCCTGTATTGGCAATTGTTGGGGACGCAACCATCTGGCACAGTTTAATGCTTCCAGAATACAATATTGCACATCTCATCAATAACGGCAGCTGCTGGGAAAAAGCTAGGCTATTTGTTGTCCACCCTCTACAGATAAGACCTAGCCTCGGGTACTGCTCACATGTTTGGGGTGCTGCTCCCCTTAATACATTATTCATGCTTAATGCTGTTTAGACGAGAGCTGTCCGACTGATCGATGACTCTTCTCTAACGGACAGTCTCGGAACCCGATGAGCCTTTTAGACAGACTTCGGCCTCCCATATCCTTTATCACTATTGTAACAATCTGCCTAAGGAGGCTTTTCCCAGTTCTACTAATCTAAGGCACTTCAAAAATCAGATAAGCAAAGTGTCTCTAAGCTCATAGCAGGTGCGCTGCCCTGGTATTTAGGCTTCTACCTATGCGACTGCTTGGGTATAAGAAAACTATGATCAGTTACAGTTCTAAATAAACGCAATCATTGCCCGGATCTTGAACATCATGCTTCACATATCAAACTTTGATTAATGTAGCGCCATCTCTTTCTAATAAAGTAACCGATCCATCAAGTGCCGGATAAAGGAAGAATCAGTTAATGCAGTTCTCAAGAGGCAATGAAACAAAAATACCATCGGAAACTGTTGCGGCTATCTATTAGATGCACTTTAAAACCAATTTCACGTCGCCGCCGGTTTTTCCATGGTGGAAAATCGGGTTTTCTTTGCCTTTCCGGTCGCTCTTGCTTTGCAGCTGCTGCTTGAGTTCAGCTTGGCAGAAGTTGAGTGGACGTTTACTGTATCGGGAAATCCTTTAAGATGGATTTAATCGGATATTTTTCTTGGCGAGCTGAAGATAATCAAAATTTAATGAACGTGAAACAACTTTGCAGAGGGTTCTGAGCATCTGGAATTCCTTTTACTCTACTAGATTCAAGCAGTGGATGGATGCAACGTACTCTAGATTTTCGCGGTCTGCCGATCACCGATTCCGTCAATTTATCTGGCTCCTAGAAATATTCTGATATTACCACGATAACTACTGGTTGACGATAATTTAGGTTTTCTATCAGTTTGAGGGAAAATTGAGTAAAGTCACACGCAGCTTAAAGAATTATTCAACAAAAGGAGAACATATGTGCGCTTCACGACCTCATGACCGAACTGTTGTGTCTTACATTATTTTCCCACAAAACAAACAACATGGGCCTTTGAGATATCGATGTATTATGAGCGGTGGGTAGATAGTCACCTGCCCCCTCCCTACAGGTTGTAAAAAACCTAGAAAAAGACAAAGCAGCCAAAGTCCTTAGTCTTTTCAAAAAACATTTTGTACTGACTGTGGTCCCAAATTATTTTTTGTATTATTTTTCTAAGAACTTAATATCTAAGTTGTATTTATTGTGGCGTGGAGTTCCACACAACGGATTTTGGAGCTTTTTATCAAATCGCCGTAGAGATAAGAGTTCTACTACAAGTGTGAAGCTTCACGTGCTCTTGACTTTACCTACAGTTCATACTTTTCCTATTATCCGTATCAGCTGCCGCCTCAGTCTTGCGATTTCGTATCTATGAACAATGTAGATGTAGCATTAGTAGTCGGAGGTTGCATAACTATCAACAGGTGAAGGGTACAGGGGAAAAACGGCATTAGTCCATTATTTGGCTAAATTGAGCTTTCAGTTTATTTTGGTGGCATTTTCCTGATGCTATATTGTAATCAGCTTTTTAAATTGTAAAAAGGGCCTAGGTTTACAAAACAACAGCTATAAGATTCCCTGTGCCGGGGAAGAATGGCATGAGTCCCTGCGCGTGTATGGAAAAACGGCATCAGTCCATATGGAAACAGGAAAACAAAGAGACGTAATGAAAACGTTGCGCGCCACTACCCACGAACTTGGATCTGATTGTCTTTGTGAACGTTTTCGCTGTTTTATCACACTTATCTTAGTGGTCTTATCACTGTTGTTCCTGTCATGCGTAGACGCCCTCAAAAAAATTAAGCAGAGTCAAGGCTTAATAATGCTTCATTTAGTTATCGTGTCCGATTAGTTGAAAATGGAATTATACGTGATGTTCCAGTTTGTCTTAAGGCTTTTTTGTCTTTACACGGAATTACACTACGGAGAGTTCGGTACATAAAAGATTCATTAGTTGCAACTGGGAAATTGCCCATCGACAGGCGTGGAAAACACAACACACGACTTCATAAACTTTCAGAAAACACAAAACAGAAAGTGACCGAGTTTATTAAGAGCCTCAAATGCCGCAAATCTCATTATTCTTTGGCAGATTCGCAAAAAGTTTACCTACCTGAAAATCTAAATATCGCAAAATTACACAAAATGTATTCTATTGGCAAAGTTGAAAACAAGATTTCCTATGAATCCTTCCGAGAAATCTTTGAAA